TTTTGATATATTAGTTGTTATTTACTCTTTTTGTTGTTATTTATTAAACTGTCATTATTGTCTCACATATGTATTATTCTAATAGGGATATAGGCTTACAGATCATGTTGATCCTATAAATATAACACTAACCCTCAAGTTATATTCACTTCACACTTGATACTCGATAGTTATTCCCATATAATAGATCATAACTCTCTTACTAACTTGAGTGTCGAAAAGTTCTTATAAATGGATCTTCCCCTCTCACCAACAAGGAGGCTCTTTTCAAACAGAAAAGAGTAATCAAAACATTGTTAGGATCTTGCCACTGTCTACAAATTCCAAGCTCAATCTTTCAACACCCGAATGCAAAGACAACCCCAGCCTTGCAACACCCGAGTTCAGCAAGGCACACCAAAAAATGAGGATAATCTAACTCCTGAAGGGGTAAATATCAAGCTCGACTTTATCAAAGAAGCCCGACCTTCAGAAGGCACCATTCCACTCGTCCAATGCAAAAACACAAACAACTTAACCCCTATACACGAAGGAAAAATCAACATAATCCAACTCTATATAAAAACTCTAATCAATGAACAAAAGAATAACACAAAAGCTTGCTCTATCCAAGCAACCCCAAGGAAGCATGCCAAGGCCAACTAGGCCGTCCTTTTAAACCTAGCTCAACCAAGGCCACCTCTAACCACCTAGCCCTAAGATATTCAAAACAAATCAGGTACCAATGCTCACCCCACATGTTACTAGTACTCCAAAACAAAAAAATACATACTCAACCATGGAGACAAGCTGCTAAACCTATAATTTTAGATAATATTTTCTTCTATTCTTTACTTATTTATAGTATAGGAAGTTATTAAAATTTATTAAACAAATTTTTAGGGGATATTGTCCTTGTAGAAAAAGAAAAACAAATACTCTCCATTTTGTATTAAGTAATTTAGAAGAAAGAAGAGAACTTATTTGAGAGAGAAAGATATTTCAGCTCATCCACAAATATACCAAGGAATGAAAGAAAAAAACATGCGAAGAAACGTGAAATTACAATTTTCACCTTATTACGAGACAATTATTTGAAGGATATATAATCGAGCATGCTATACTTATAACTGTTATAACCATTCGATAGTAGCCATAACATAATATAATAATCAAACTATTTTAAATAACAATAAATATAACACACACACATAAAGATTTTTAATTTTACCATTAAAGATTTCTTAAATTAAAATAAGTATTTTAGCAATTTTATCTTTTAAATGATTTTTTTTCAATTTAATTATTATTTTTATTTAACCTTTTTTTTAAAATTTAACTATTAATATTAATTTTTTTCAATAACTTTTTTAATATTAATAAATATATTCTAAAAAAATTATGAACCCATATCTCTAAAAAAAATCATAAACTCTATTACTACTAATTAATCATATTTTCTATCCATAAACTTTATTATTACTAATAATACTAACAGAAAATTACTACTATTATTTAGGTGAATATTTTTCATGACTCTTACCGTTATGCCATTCGTTTAATAAAATCTAAAAAAAGTGTAACGATGGTTTAATGATTTTTCAACCACCACCAACCCTTAATTTTGTACTATTGTATTATAATAAAAGTTAAAAATTAGAAAAATGTTAACGAATCAATAAAAAAGTTTAAAAAAACCACAAAACACAACAAATTAAATTTAAATTAACAAACTAATCAAAAACTAAAAAAAAATACAACAAATAATTAAATAATAATTCATATTTAAAAATAAAATATCAATAAATAATTATAGATTACAAAAATTAACAAACAAATTTAAATTTTGAAATTAAGAAAAATTAATTACATTAAAAATAAAATTTAAATAAATATCAAATATAAAAGTAAAATACAAATTACAAAATATTAACGGCAAAATATTTAATATTTAAATAAACTAATAAAAAAATATAAAAAAGGCTTAATATAAGTCCTCATTTTTGTTAACTTTGTTCGAAGTGAGACTTGTTTTTTAAAATGTTCAATGTAGTCCTTTATATCGTAATTTATGTTCAATTTAGTCATTTTAACAAACAACGTTTAAATAGTTAACGACTAAATGTCATGCTGAGCAATCAGTCAATGACATGTCATTTATTGGCTGACGTAGACACTTTAAAGTTATTTTTTGATATTATGGCTTTTATTTTTAATTCTCTTGCTTTATTATTAATCTCTTTTAAGACTGCCCAACAATGGGTCTTTACGGTCAGACCAACCCTGACCCCATGACGACATTCACGGGCCCTCCATGGACGCCACCCGCGCAATCAAAGAATAACCAAGAATGAGATAACAAAATAGGACTCACGATTTAAGAGACAAATAACACAACCATCAACCTTAATCGAAGAACAGGAAAACCCAAAATTCAATTCAACGAAACCCTACATCTCAACTCGCAGAAGAAATAAGATAATCATAACAAAACCCCCCAAATTTTGATGTACAACTCAAACCCTCCGTCACGCTCTCGTCGCCTCTGTCGTGCCTTTGCACGCTTTTGTCACGCCTTTGCCTCGCCTAAACGCGTATCCCTTTCATACAAACCCTCGACAAGACCAAAGAGAAGAGGGATGAAGCTCTCTCCCTTATGACGCGAACTATATCAAGAACAGGGTCACAAATTTCTCCTGTGAAACGAACCAAAATAGAAAATAAAGGGAGAAGAAGGGTTTATTGTAGTGCGAACTAGTATGCTATGAAGGGAGGAAGAAGAGCGCATCCACAATGCCATCGTCCTTGCCGCCAAGAGGCCGTTGCTCAAGCCATAGAACCATTGTCACCCCAAAAATGGCTTTTCGGATGTTGAGAAGAGAAAATCCCCATTATAAAAAAATATCAAAAAATAAAAAACCCTAATATCACAAAATAACTTTCAAAAATTATAAATCCACCTCACTATGTCTTAAAGTGTCCACGTCAGCCAATAACTGGCATGTCATTTACTGATTGCTCATCTGGACATTTAGCCGTTAACGATCTAAACGTCGTTAGCCAAAAGCACTAAAGTGAACATAATATAAAGGACTCCATTGAACATTCTAAAAAAATGAGTCTCACTTTGAACAAAGTTAACAAAAATAGGGACCAACAATGGTATTAAGCCTATAAAAAACAAATCAGATTCAAAAAATAATTAAATATAATAAAGCAAATCAAAAGAAGGAAAATCAATGCACTTGATTGTAGTTCAAGTTGCGGCAACAGTGAAACCACATTTCCAAGTGCGACAGCCGCATTTTCAACTGCGACACTATATGAACCGCACTTCCAACTGTGGTTAGACTGCATTTCAAACTGCGGCGAGCTCTCAACCGCACTTCCAAGTGCGAAGAGCTCTGCAACCCCTCTTCCAACGTCGGTGTGCTCTCAACTAGTGCGGTTAAGACATCAACTTTCGTCCCATCTAGTCCAGAAATGCATCCCAGACATGCAAACAACACATATAAATACTACACACAAACAATCCATACAAACAATACATACAAACGAATATTATCACATACAATCTTTCTATCATACAAAGCTTAAGGAAAGAACAACCAACCTGGACGTCCAAGCTAAGAAGAAACAACACTGCAAGCGCTTACCACGATACCACGACCACGACCACTAAAGAGAGGTCTGTGCGTGACAACAAGTAAAATGAGGGAGGAGGGGAGGAGCACTGCATGCGAGAAAAGAGAAGAAAATGGTGTAGGATTTCAGAACGTGAAATGCGGCAGAGAAGTAAGGGTGAATACTTGCTTTTAACTGTTGAATGGATAAAATCAGTCAAAAGATTTTCTATGATTATGTGATTCTCACAGAGACACAATTGGAATAATAGAAAAATAGGAAAGTGCAAGGTGAGACTAGTCAGGTGCAGAGAGAGATTGGTGAGGTGAAACAAGAAATACTCTAAGATAATTATTGTGTTGAATGACCATTTGGCCCAACTTCATTATTGTGTATTAATTTTATCTAACTAATAGTTGACCGCTAGGCTATCTCCTAGGGGCAAAGTTAATTTGAAATTGTCGTATGAATTATTATAGTTCATCTTAAAGTGCAAACTAGTAGATTACCTTTATAATAGAAGAAAGATAAAATGGAATTTAATACAAATTTAATTTTAAAGTGACTATTTAACCTAAAAAATAGGAGAGAAAATAATCTACGAACACCGAAAAACGATTCTATGAAAAAAATCTGAAGAGAAGACGTGAGGTAGGCTGTCTGACACCATCTTATACACTTGAATACGCTATTTTAAAAGTATGAGAGCTGCCACATTAACTGATGTTGTTAGCATATGAAATTCCATGGGGTAATAATATTCTGAAAACCACAGAAGTAAGTCGGAGTAAAATAATATGATAGATAGAGTAATTAAAAGTAAGAGGAAAAAACAAATGCAATAAAGTTTGGATACCAAGTATCACGTGTTAGTGTGAGACCACTCTTTCTTTCCTTACTCGAATCGTTTCATTAAATATCTTAATCCGAGATAACGATAGTTTCTTAGTTTGTTAATTATAGGTCCTTTGTATTTCTCTCTAACGTGCATTTTCTTTTTATTTAAGAACGTGCATCAGTGTTGGTAGGAGCTGAATCCTTTTAAGAGACAACTATATAATTTTTATTATATTGAATGCATTTGAAGACTTTTATAAATTTATTTTTATTTTTGTTTAAATGGGATTACATGCGAAACAAAACCCAATAAAGGAGGGTGTGAAGAGATTACTATTGAGCAGGGTGTGAGACAACAGACAACCCACCTTCCAGTCCTTCACTTTTCGCTCTGTCTCTGCTCCTTTTCACAAAACGGGAAACAAGAGCCTCCTAATAATTTTGTTTATCAGGGAAATAATAATAATAATAATAATAATAATAATAAAATAAAATAAATAATAATATCAGTGTAGTTTTAACTTCCCTCCTTCAATCACTCCCATTACTCTCTTCTCTCTCCTGCATCAATCAAAGTAAAAATCTCACCCTCACGAGACACTGGTTTTAGCCTCATATCTCTCTCTCTCTCTCTCTCCACCAAGTTGTTTAATAAATAATAACACTGCAATGCAATCTCTCTCTGGATTTGTATTTTTCTCTCTCTGAACCAGAATGGCGAAAGAGCTTCTTCTGCAACTTCGTCTATTGCTTCTTCTTCCGGAACAACGGTGTCGTTTTCTGCCTCGCATGCCAATGTTCAACTTCGCATTCTGACTCTTCTTACTTCTACATTTTCGATCCCTTCGATCCGTTTAGCTTCACCTTGCTTCTCGCAACCACCGACTAACTCGGCTCAGGTGCATTTTGCCTTTTCCTCTCATTTATCTACCTGATTCAACTTTTCTCCCTGCTCTCTCTTCACTCCTCTTCTTAATTTTTACCTTCCTGCTTCCACTTTAGATTTCTCTCCGTTTTCTTCGTTTGCACTGTTCACATCCACTTCGATGCTATTTTTTCCTTCTGCATTCCACTTCGTTACCTCTGATTCGTGGTCTTTTCGGCTTACTGTTTCTGGTACTGCTTAATTATTCTAGAGACTTGTTCTTTCGTGAAATGTAGGTAAACAAGCAAATCATTAATTATGCGTAGTGATCTTAGTTGTTGTTACTGCTTCGAGTAGCGAAGCTGGTTGAATGAACGAAACATTTTCGACACACGTTATGCACAGTTTCTATTTCTCTAGGTTTCTCGCCACTGAATAGAACCGCAGTAACTCTTTACGTGAATAATTTTTATGGTGAAGCCTATTTGTCAAGTAATTAACTCCCTGATTGTTCAACTTTGGTACTCAACTCAGTGTGATCCTGGGTTATATTTATTTCTCTTTAACCGCGTGATCTTATTGTTCCTGTAATTAACGAGCATTGCTGGACCCGGTTTTTGACTACTTTATTTGCTTTATTTGTTTTCTTTTGATTATCGATTACATTTGTTCGTTTCTTTTTTGCGCAATAATCACCGTTGTATTGCGTTGTACTTTTCCTATTCTACCTTGAGAAGGGATAAAGGGAAAAGGTTAACTTGTAAGCATATGCAATTCTTGAGTAACTTCGCTGCTAGTGTAGTTTCCCTTCTCAGACACACAGTCCAGTACAATAATTGTCTTTGTAACTTCCAAATATGGTTTAATAATTTACCTGCCCTCCATTATTTTGTCATCTAACCTTTCTGTAAGGATTCAATGTGTTTGACTTGGAATGTACCCAGGGGTGGGAATTCTCTTAATTGATGACATGGAGCAGTATGAAATACTTGAGCAAATTGGAAAAGGCGCTTTTGGTTCTGCGCTTCTTGTGAGACATAAGCATGAAAAGAAAAAGTGAGAAACTAACCTACCTGACCTCTTTATTTTTCTCGTCTGTTTCTTTTCAGTTGTGCACTTACATGTTTAAACAACAACGTTTGCTGTTCCATAAGTCATTATTGGCAATGCTTTTGCACTTATGTCTTTTGATTATATAGATATGTGTTGAAGAAGATTCGCCTTGCACGTCAAACCGAGCGCTCTCGCAGATCTGCACATCTGGAGGTTGGTGCTTCAAGTAGCAGTTTAAATAGAATGCACAATACTTATCTTGTGACTTTTTCTAAAATATTTCCCTTTGCATGTTGCAATTTTTGGTTTCTAGTTCTATAGAAGTGTCATTTGCTAATGGGCCTTAAGACAAGTTTCAGGCCTCAACCGTCAAAGTAGCAGCAACCCTCAAATGTTGACGTGAGAATATGTGTGGATTGCATTGTTCTAATTGCATAACTAACATTTATGTCTTTTGGTCTGTATAGATGGAGCTCATCTCTAAATTAAGAAACCAATTCATTGTGGAGTACAAAGATTCGTGGGTAGAAAAGGTATTTTGCTTCTTAGTTTTACCTCTCTTCAGTTAATTAGAACAATGGTTTCTACGTGCTGCTTGCATAAAATAAGCTTGTATTGTAGGATTGCTAGGAAATCTCTTGGTGAATGCAGCATAAAACTCCGAGTTTGTTATATGTTTTTAACTATTTTGGCTCCTTCCTTCTCAGGGTTGCTATGTCTGCATCATTATAGGTTATTGCGAGGGAGGAGATATGTAAGTCTCGTTTGTGTAACTTCTAGCATACAATTCATAGTTCTATTCTTAACTATTGGTAAATTGGAGCATGAATGTTTTTCAAAACATGCTGTTGATGTAATGCAGGGCGGAAGCTATAAAGAAAGCTAATGGTGTCCTGTTTCCTGAGGAGGTTATTTTTTTCTCCAATCAGAAATTTATATTCCTTCCATTTGGATTAGAATAAGGGTCATATTAATTTTTGCATTTAAAATTTAAAAACGACAATTTGTTTGCAGAAACTTTGTAAGTGGCTCGTTCAACTTCTTATGGCTCTTGAGTACTTGCACATGAACCACATTCTTCACCGTGATGTCAAGGTTAGTGACTAATTTCTCTTTGTATATAGTAGTACAATATCATAAAAGTTATTTCAATCTGATTTATACTAAGGTATATACTAATGAGAAAATCACATGATTCCATCAGTGTTCAAATATCTTCTTGACAAAAGATCGTGACATACGGCTCGGTAAGTTATTCTACATTTCCTTTAAGTAAGGCTTAGATGATTGAAGTTTTGTTCATTAGTTATCGAGGATCATGCAGGTGATTTTGGACTTGCCAAAATGTTGACGTCTGATGATCTCGCTTCCTCTGTAAGACATGTACAACCTTTTAATTGGATTTGGTTATTGTAAATTTAACACTTACAATAATCAACCAGTGGTTGTCTTGTAATGCAGGTTGTGGGAACTCCTAGCTACATGTGCCCTGAGCTCCTTGCTGATATACCTTATGGTTCTAAATCAGATATTTGGTCCTTGGGTAAGTACTATTATTATTGTTTTATTCTTTGTACTTTTTCTGTTATGGGTTTATTGTATAATCTCTGAAATCGGATAATCCAGGATGCTGTATATATGAAATGACAGCGCATAAGCCTGCATTCAAAGCATTTGTAAGTTTCTCTCTAAAAAGTCTTTTTTTTTTCTGTGTTTTTTTTTCTTTATGCAATGTATTAAATACATTCATGTCTGCTGTTGAATGATAAGTATAAGATTCGACAAATATTTGTCAATAATTTGGCTATCATCAAACCGCCATATTTGGACATTTAGTGTTACGTGGACTGATCAGTAGACTACAATCTTGTTAATTTACATTATCTTTATATCCCAATTTATTATGTTTTGAAATTGTTATTATATTATTTTTCATAACTTCGATTTTACAATATATCATCACCAACACTTATTTAGCTGCATAATACCTGTATATAGAATCAGATTCACTGCATATTTTTTGTTTTCATATATTTTCTGTCAACTTTGTTTTTGGAATTACCTAATTATCTTTCAATTTCTTTGAGCAGGATATACAGGCATTGATTAACAAGATTAATAAATCAATAGTGGCTCCACTGCCTACAAAATATTCTAGTTCGTTGTAAGCATATAGTTTTCCTTCATAAAGTTAATTATTAATTTTTCCATTTTTCAAACTGCAATGTCATGTTTTACGCCATAAAATTTAACACTTGACAAACCAAGTGCCTAAAGTTTTCCATACATGAGGTGTGGTTTAGCCTAAGATAATTTATAGTAAGTTTTTTTTTTGTTAGTTTATGTGATCAATTATTAATATCATGGACTATGCGATTGATGATTGATCAAGTATATTTATTGCTTTTGGCAGTCGAGGTCTTGTTAAAAGTATGCTGCGCAAGAATCCAGAGCTTAGGCCAAGTGTATGTAATATCATCCTCTGACCTATACTTCATTGAAATTTATGAATGCTACATCTAGCGCGGTATTTTATTTCCATTGTGATTGAATAGATATTGCAATCCTCTGACCTAGAATGATTCATTGAAACTTATGGCTGCCACATCTAGCACCGAAATGGATTGTCAGGAGTGGATTAGCTGAAGGAATCATCACTTTTAGCTTGCTTGGTTGGAGATAGTTGGGTTGATGATAGATTTTACTTCAAATTTTGATGCGATTTTCACTTTGGCCTTTCATTCTTTTATATGAACAAACCCTGTTTGGTACTGGAGAAATCTTCGTAGTACTACATTGCATCAATTAAAGGCAGAGGAATACGATAGGCAAAGTATTGAGTTATGAAGGGCAATATTTTTGAAAATGAAAATTATACTAAAATTTGCATACTAGTATTTCTACACTGTTATAACCAACATGGTTTTTTGGGCATATTAATGGTGTCTGCTTTCCTGAAGATATGAATTGAAAATTGATATTAATGTGTGGCTGCCATGAATATCACCCTTTTATCCTCTAGAACTCCATCAGCTAGATTGGTTTGCTTGTCTTAGAAAATGGATTTTATGTTTAACTCCTCTACAAAATTGAGTGCGAGACTAAATATTTATGGACTGGGCTGTCTGATAGTGGTCCAACGAGTAACATGGTAGATATAATCTTCTTAAAATAAATTTTCATACTAACTTGAATTTAGAGATGGCCAAAAATCAGTGAGTTTCATCTCAGCTGATATATATGTATATATTGTACTCATCTTTTAGTATATATACATATTATATAGATGTATGTATGTATACATCAGCTGAGTACATGTATATCTTAAAAGAGAAGGCTACAACCCATGTTCCTTAACCTAAAGCAAGGTACATCCATAAACAACTTTTATAAAAGCTGTACAACAAAATAATAAAACCTATTTCAAGAATTTTATAAACAGGTGTAGAAAATTTTAAATTAAAAGCTAAAAATTCAAAAAATTTCTTTTAGAAACCATAATTTACCTGATGACTGGTGCCACTGCCGTCTACATGGTAGTAATGATTATTGTTAGTGGTGGCCAATTTTATTCATTTTGCATAACGTCTTGTCGAGCTCATTAATCCTTTGTCTCCATATATGTCCTTGTCTGGCATCTGCTTCTATTCACCATGATATCAACTGGGTTGAGGCCTTGTGGGCAGCTATCTTTCTATGTGCCCTACCCATCTGAAATTCAAATCTGACCTGTCACATGGACCTATTTCTTATTTGAGGTGTACTTGTGGTGGTAGGCTACAGAGCTGCTTGGACATCCACATCTTCAATCTTACGTTCTTAAGGTCCATCTCAAAATCAATAGCCCCAGGCGAAACACATTGCCAGTTCATTGGCCAGAATCCAATTACTTGAAGAAAACTAGATTTTTGGTGCCAGAAGATGACCCTGTTTCTCTGTATAGGGATAAGCGACATTCTTTCAGTAATGATCGGACTCTGAACCCTAGTGTATCTGGAGCTGATCAAGATTCTTTGTGCTCTACTCTTGAAATAGATTGTACTCCTGACCATTTGAATCAAAGATTAGCAGAACTACGTGTTGGAGATAGCCATGAATTGAAATCAATCCGGAAGCCTGCTGTTTCCAGAACTTCTAGCATTGCTAAGACTCCAAGATTCACTTCCTCAAAAGTCTCTGGCACCAACAAGAAAACAATGAAATCCTCAAAGAATCATAAAGAGGTAAGGAAAGTTGTAAATCCATTATGTTTTCACATGACTTTGGCTTCTTTTTCTTTGGGTTGGGGGTATAAGAATGTTTGTCACATGGTTTAGTTATAAAAAGAGTCAAGCATGTCATCTTTGTGGTTTCATTAAGGTTTAATAGCCAATTTAGTCCTCACTTTGGTTGAAAAATCTCAATTTAGTCCCTCGTTATAAAAGTGTTTTGAATTAGTCCTAACTTTTAAAATAGTGGGTCAGATTGGTCCTTTATGTTAAATATAAGTTAACAAAATTAATGGATGATGATGTGACACAACTTAAAGCTAACGAGAGACCAATCTAACACATCAGCTTTAAGCTGTGTCACATCATCATCCATTAATTTCGTTAACTTATATTTAACGAAAGGGACCAATCTGACCCACTATTTTAAAAGTTAGGACTAATGTAAAACACTTTTATAACGAGGGACTAAATTGAGATTTTTCAACCAAAGTAGGGACTAAATTGGCTATTAAACCTTTCATTAAATATTTAGTTAGACAGTTGACAACTCCTGGACCAGATAGTTTTCTAAAGAATGGGGTAGTTGTATTGAACTACACTAACAAGTAGTCAATCGAGAATGACCTTTCTCCTAGTTTGAAATATTACAAAAAAACTCTTATTTACTCGGTTTAGAAATCTCCCTTCTTGTCATTAGCTTTTATTTATTTTTTAATTTTATTTTATAAGATCTAAGGTACGGGTTTAATATATGCTCTACTTTTACACCTAATTTACCTGTAAAGTAAATGTCGTACCTTTTATAATTGATTAAAAAACAGGAGAGCAAAAGTTACCAGAAAAATTATTTATGGTTTTAGTAATTTTTAATATTTTTTCTTTGACAGGTATTATTACAAAATTAACATCATTTTACTATTGGGGAGAATTTTGTAATATGATACATACATATATACATACATATGTATATATACATACATACATATATACATACATATGTATATATACATACATACATATGTATATATATATATATATATATATATATATATTCGAGTGGATTGTAATATACAAGAAGGAGAGAGCATCTTTATATCTGGTCAAGCATCAAGGTAAATTCACCAAAAACATAAATTACCTGTCTGACTTGCTAAAGTTTGGTTGCAGATGCCTCCTTCACACAGTACAACAAAATCTGCTAATACTAACCGTAGAGCATCATTTCCATTGCCAAAAAGAGGTGGTATTCGACAGCCTCCTTCCGGGCCCAATGCCACTATGATTAGTCACGTGTCTTCACCTGATATCTCAGTCAATTCTCCACGAATTGATAAGATGGCTGAATTCCCATTAACTTCATATGTGGATTCTTTGTTTCCCATCAATAGAACATCATCCTTTGTTCAATGTTCCTCTGGCCTCCCATCCAGCGGCAACCATTCCACTGTGATAGACAAATGCACGGTAGAGGTACATGATATGGCCTCAAACAGTCCCGACTGTACTGAGTCTTGGCAGGGAATCAAGCAGAGCGTTTTAAAGGAAATTGATGAGGATAAAAGTGGTTCCTCTGATCAAAATGCAACGGCAGGTGCTTCAAGCCACACATCTTCTGACTTGCGCCGTAGACAATTTGACCCGTCATCATTCCAACAAAGGACTGAAGCTTTAGAAGGGTTGCTTGAATTTAGTGCAAGATTGCTACAGCAGGCGAGATATGATGAACTTGGGGTTCTATTGAAACCATTTGGGCCTGGAAAGGTTTCCCCAAGGGAAACAGCTATCTGGTTGAGTAAGAGCTTCAAAGAGAATACTTTCAACCCAGAAGAATCCATGTAAACTGCTATAATGTTTACCGTAGTCATTTTTAGAGTTCAGTGTTTCTTCTCACATGAGAGAATTTAGCCAGCTGATTTTCTTAACGTATCTCATTTTTTTTTTCATTTACCCTTTTCTTTTTCATTCCACTGAATAATGATAACTCAAATTTTCGATCTGATCCATGAAGCAGATGATAGATATTTCTTTGGCAGGAAAGTTGGCGAAGGTTGGTGTCTCAAAACCCTTTCCATTCTTGTAATTGTTCGTTAATTTTTCTTTCCTGGAATAACTATGCATCAGTTAAATGGGGAGCAGAAGGTATTGGCACTTGAGTAGAGACCCTAGTTATGTAATCAAGGAAGTGGTATACTTTGAAATTTATCTTTAGTCCTAATGGCACCGAAATTTCGTTTTCATTGTGGGGTGGGGGCTAATTGGTTAACAATACCAAAAACATTTTGCTGGTGTTACTATTTAATTAGTTTCCTAGTGGTACTGGGTGTTCTGTATTTGTACTGCCTAATAAGTGTAAATGCAAAGAAGCATTTAGTAGGAAATCGACGAATCATACTCCCATTTATGAAAACAGACTGATATTAGGGCAACTTTTTCTTTTCGCTTTCAGCATCTGAGATTGAGACCGGCATACCTTGAATTCATACATGCAATTGCCATATTATGGACTAGAGATGTTACATTGCCTCTATCTAGTTCAGGTACTAGAAGACGGCCAGCACTTTCTTTTATATGATGTTTTATTATTTTAGTATACAAGCATTCAACACCCAAATTTTACATTGATTGCGGCTTTTTCCTTTCTTGTTTTGGTTGTCGTCCGGACAGACCTTAGTTGAAATGACTGTTTAAAGACGATATTTGCTGCTTCTGCCATTTTGTCTGAATTTTATAGTTTCGGCTTCTAATATTTGGGTATTGATATCGATTCATGTCTTGTTATTCATTATTTATCTGAGAAGTTGACTTCTCACTGATGTCTGTAACATGATCCCTTTTGCGCGTATTCACTGTTCAAACCGTGTCCTAACGTGGGACTAGTATACGAGAATGGTTATAAAATCGTAACAATGCGGCTGTTAATCAGTTTGTTCAACATTCAAGAAAACATCTGAAAGAATCAATTTATGATTCATGGCCAACTTCGTCATCCCATGGAGTCGTCTTGACTCCAATAATTCTAATCGTGCTATCTGGAAGAGTGATAAAGCTGTCTCATCAAGTAAGATCTTTGCTCTTGTGTTGAAAAACTTCGGAAGCGGGTTTTTTCGTCGGTGGAGTGCAGTTTCCTTTGGAAAGGCCTTTTTGAATATTTTATTTTCAACTTTAGAAGACTTAAGCCGTGTGCTAGCTGGTGGTTAGCTTAATCCGGGATCCTAGCGGCTTGTTACTTGGACAGCGGATTTCAACCTTCTTATGTAAGGCAATCTTATGAATGGTGCCGGGTAAGAATTTTTGGCCTTTCTCAAGATTGGAGACCAAAAGTTTTCTCACCATAGCACGTGGTGTAGGAGTACCTTTATCATTGGATGGCTTCACGGGACGTCGTTCTTGCGGAATGTTTGCAAGGGCTCTTGAGGATCTTGATAATGAAGCATGATTTACCATATCAAATACTGGTTGAAGGGGAAGATTAGGCCTTCTTTGTTTCACTTGTGTAAGAGAGATTCCCTGAATTTTGCGATAAATGCCAAATTATTGGACACTGTTTCTTCTTGTCGTCATGTTTTGCAGGAACGAAGTGGTCGTCAGCATTCTGTAAAGAAGACCCATGTTATCTAGAAGTTCGAGAAAGATAACGAGGGGTTGATAGTAGGGTTGACAATGATAATAACCTTGTTTTTCATGTGGAGAATGACATTTCGCCACTTATACTAAAATCAACAGCTCTACTGTGGTTGTCACCGATAATCGCAAAGTAGACACACCTGTGGTTTTTAAGTATTTCAAAAAAGCAGTCTTTCTTTCTCAAGGAATTTCTGAGAGCGAGCAGAATTCTTCCTAACGTTTTAGAAACTCCTCCAGTTTTCAAGCTGTCTTGATGATAGATACTCTAGTTTGTAAGTTTAATGCTGAAGTTTTCTAGGACCCGGAAATAATTCTGGATGATAATCGTGATGTAACTAACATAGCAGAAAATTCTCTTATGCATGTATACTAAATGATATGAATGAGGTTTAGGTTTTGGGGTTGACATGGTTGAGGAAGATGGTGGTAACTTGCAGTGTAATTCTTCAAAAGTGATTATAAGGGTCGACCCGATAACTCATCCTTTCAGAAGGATTTATCCAAATGGCAGAAGACAAAATTGAAGCAGAGAAGAGAAAAGCTTTACGCTAGCAGCAAGATCCTTCGAGGGGGTTACGAAATAACTCCTTTGACGAAGTTTCAGTTATTGTATTGGAATGCTAGCGTTCTAGCAAATTCCAACACTAGAAACGTGCTGAGCATAAACTGGATGTTCTGCTTATTGCAGAACCTTGGATGGATCATGCTAAATTTCCTCCTAGGTTTTGGTCCTCCTTATGATATAAAAACTTTGCGGTTAATGGAAGGGTTCACTTATTACCAAATCTTTGGTGTTCCTGTAGTGTTGAATTGTTTCCTATTATTATATTTCAATTTGAGCAAATGCCATGTAGCTAATAAAGTTTTACATGTTAAGCAACCATGGAAGGACCTATCTGATAATTATAATGCTTTGGTTGGATCCTTGATTGTCCCTGGTTATTAAATGCAGTTTTGAGAAGAATTTATTGCATGCGTAGATGGTGTGGAATAATGGTCGGGTGGGGTCATCCAGAATTGAAATGCGATTGGACCGTGCTTTTGTAATTCCGGAATACTAGAGACTGTACTACTTTGATAAGGTGCAATTCTAATCACCATCCAATATTTGTCTTTTCAACAGAATGAATACAGAAGAAAATCATCTTTTTCATTCCATGGCATGTGGAATGATCATGAAGGATGTGCGAATGTTGTCAAAACTATCTCCAAGAACACATGTTGGCTGTCCTGTTTGTTCTTCATCAGAGAATCTTAAGGTTGCCCTCTCTAAGAGGAATAGGGTGGTCTTTGGAAGTATACATGAGCGTGTGCGCACTGTTCAGTCTGAACTGGTGCATATTCGACAGATAAGATATGGCCTAGAAGCCTTCTGGGCCATGTGGCGCTGTCATCATAGGATTCTTCCGGAACCTTTAATCAAACTTTTACACGCAAATGTACTGACATATAGAGGTAATTGTTTATATCCTACTGTATTCATAAATTCTTCATACACTATTGTTACTATTTTATACACAATTCTAAGTAGAAAAATAAACTAGAGATTGCTATGCGCTATAGAAGTTATCCCTGAAAATTTATTTATTGATATTTATATTATCAGAATTAAATAAATAAAATTCACAAGAGAGAATTTTCTAGTTTAATTAGCAGTTTGAATCTGAATAGTTGTTAAATACTTAGATGAAGTGTTTTATTGTATGAGATAATTTTATTTTGATTGAGTTGTTACGATCTTAAAAAAAGAGAGATGCAAAAGCATGTTATTTAGATTATAAAAGCAAATATGTATGAAATTAGTACAACCTAAGAAAATGGCAATATATTCCTTTGTTTTATTTTATGCGATGGTAATTCATGGGTTTAATGTATATGTAAGTTTGATCTAAAATATTTTATATAGAAAATCATTTAAAAACTAATTTCTAATTTTTATATGATCTTTAAGTTGTTATTATTAAAGTAAACAAACTTATTAAATTTGTGATTGATGAAAGTTTAGAAAATAATTCATACACCTTTTTGTCTTTATTTGTATACAAAAAATCACTGATGAATAAATAATAAGGTAAAAGTATATATACTGGAATAAATAAATTCATGCGAAGTAGTATTAATAATATTCATTAACTTGCTGCATTATAATTCATTGCTATGGTGACGAGGGATATTAATTTCATATTTACTTACAAGTTTAATATTATATTTTAAAATCTTCTAGTTTTTTTATTCCAATTTATAATTCATCACTATTTTTCATTTAATGTTATTTTGTGCTTGCTTTGTTTTTAACTTCAAAAGCCTTTTGGATTATGGTAAATGTTTGACATAAATTGTATTAGAATTTTTACTTTTTATTTTTTCTTTCGGTTAAACTTGATCTAAAGTTCTTAATTTTTTCAAACTGATAATTTGGTCTTTAGATATATGAGAATTTAGTTCTTTCTAACTATAAAAGCATGATTTCTTATAGTAAATTTAATGAATTCATATTTTTTCTCAATTTGAAAATTAATTTAATCCATATAAAAATTATAAGGACCATGACTATGTCTAAAGTAAATCACATTTTTTTAAAGGTAGTTGTATAAAGCGCTATTATTATTTGGGGTGTTTTGTAAATTGCAATTTTCTTTCTTTATTTAGTACACTTTCATGTATAATTGCAAACTTTCATATATAATTGCAATTTATAATTGTATTTAGCTTTTGATTTATTTCCGTTGCATGATATTTTAGAGTGAAGGAATAAGAAAATATATTAATTTTATGATTGTTGGTGGGCTATTAAGGTCATTACATTAAGGTTTAAGTTTTTTTTTTTGCTATAATTTTAACAAAATTTATTTAATATTTAATGAACCAATTTGTCACTTATTTGTTATATAAGGTATTTCGTTATAAATATTTTACTACAGTTTGATGAGTATTAAAGTATTATTGCCTACATGCCCTGGAGTGACCGTAACTGATTTTTGTAGTGGTTGGTCAATCCTTGTATTTATCTTCAACTCAGCATCTAGAAGTTAATGTTCAACGTGGAATCAAAATTAATAACTAAATATGTCATTGGACTTTCTTCCCCATTACTCTTATCATTTCTAATCAATTTTGAGATCTTTTTACAACACGACACAAATTTGAAATATGGGTTGGTAAAAGAAATCAATTATTTTTAAATAATATTCAAATCAAAACTATTATTTTCCATGAACATATTTATGTAAGAAAAGTGACATAAAAGTTAAAATTGTAAAAAAAAATGGCATAAAAGGAACGCACTGTATATTATTGAATGGTGAAAACTTCTAAAATTCCTATGTGAATAAGAACAATTCTTCTGGTAAGAATGTAACACTTGTCCAAACTTTGACGTTAAATATTTCTTAAATACGTATACTATAGACTATAATATAGAAGTACAAGGATTGATACGTCATTTTTTAGTAGAAAAAGAAGCTTCCTTTGCTTACTTTCCACTCTTCTAGAGGAAAAAACACTTAAAATTTCTTCAAAAACGGATAGTGGAAGAAGAAATCTGGGGAAAAAAATGATTACTTTATTGTTCTGTGTAGTGAATGGAACTCGAGAGAGGTTTCTGCCACAAATTTCTAGCCCAAAAGTCTTGGCCGTGTGAAGCATACGAATGTGAGAAAGACAGTAACTCTTATAATATTAATGTTACAAATATGGCTTCTTAGTTCTTACTGTATTTATAAAGACCAAACCCAAATCCTTCTTCCATCATACACCTTCAAACCTGCGATTCTTCTTCTCTCTCTGTTATTGCTTTTGTGATATACCAAAACAAATGGGTTCCTGCAGATTATTGGGCATCATGGCTATGTTTCTTTTTCTGCTGTTTCCCTTGGCAGCCAAAGGGGACAATAATATTACTGATTCTTTCCTTGGTGCATAACTCATCTCTCTCTTCCACAAAATGAAAAACTTATCTTATTCTGTTTTATCCATTCATCTAATGCATGAAAACTGCAAGGCTACAAAGTGGTGGCAAATTAGTGTGTTATGACTTTAACTGTGACATACGGATATGAAATATTGCAGATAAGGTTTGTGAAGAAGTGGAATGTGGGAAAGGAAGCTGCGTTGTGAACACAAGTTACCCATTAAACTTCATTTGTGAATGCGAATCTGGCTGGACGAGAACTCAAGATGAAGATGATGATAAATTTGCCACTAGCTTTCTTCCATGTGTCATTCCCCAATGTAATGTCTTTCTCTGTTACTTTGAGTAATTTAAACCTGCCATCCTCAGTTTTGATGAATCCATGTGTTAAAAAAATTACAAATTTTTGTTATTATATAAATAACGCTTAAAAACTAGTTTAATGAAAATCGGTTGAATCTTCTCCAGGTAGCTTGAACTATGGTTGTCAACCAGCACCACCACCAGTTCCAGAGAAGAGTTTTCCACACAACTTATCAGCTTTCGATCGTAAGAGACACTGCTCCTTCATTAATAATGACTTGTAAACGTTACATTTTAATTACCAGTTCAGAAAAATTCATGTCATGAATGAAATATAATATGATTAATTATGTTTTTGTTTATTTTGTTTTTTATCCATATCTCAAATTTTGATTTATTTGGTCTTATATTTAAAGAAACATATTAATACAGTTTTCTTGTTGACACTAACTGTTTTTTTGGACGAAGAGGAATTTATGTATGTATCTCTTAAGGATAATATATTCTACAGTATTTTTTTAATAATATTTTAACACCATCTACACGTCATTCTCTAATTAATTCATATTGATGTTTGTGATTATTATTATTGATTGTGAAATAATTTTAAACTAATTACATAATAACACGTAAATGATATTAAAATGTTGTCAAAGTATCATTATGATATTAAAATGTTCTCAAAGTATCATTATCCATTTCTTAAATACAGGCATCTGACACCATCAAACTTTGAGACAAAAAACGAAAATGAAAATAAAAAACATAGTTATATTCTTTCTCTACTTCTCTAATGTTAAAAAAAAATGATAGCTTGCTATTGGGCGTACTGTGGGGAAGGAAAATGCGTCCAGAACAGGACACATACACACGCATGTGAATGCAGCCCCAATTACTTCAATCTTCTCAACATCTCTGTTTTTCCTTGTTACAGTGAATGTAAGGATTCAAAACCTTTTCTTTTCTACAATGGTCGCAGAATGTTATAGCATTGATTAAGGACGACATTCTTGTTTTATGCTTCTATTTTGAAGGTACTCTTGGATCTGATTGTTCGAAGCTTGGAATAAAAGTTGCAGATTCAACTGGCAATGAAGGTGAGATTAGACCTATTTCTTTTATTTAAAATGGAAAAGAAAAAAACATTGAAGTTGTGTTTGTTTTGGTATTTGTTTCAGATAGCTCAGGTTCATTGTTCAAAGGAAGGTTGGATTGGATGATTATGTTGTTGATGTCGACGGGTATGGTGATGTTGAGCTAAGACCCAAATGATACAGAAAATTATTTTGGCCCATAATTGATTTCATTGTTCTTCATCACTCATTGGGTGGTGATGACTATTGTTGCTATACTGTATGATATACTGTATCCACATACATACGTAGACAGCATGTACATTTGTCTTTTTGTACAATAAAGGGAGTGAAAATATTTGAACTTTAGAGCTTCTGTAAACTACTTAAACTTCATTGTCTGTGGATTTTATGTAGTTAATACTATTTCTGCAGTGTTATTATAAATTAAATATTCTTGTTTTGCAACAGTCATTAACCCCTCCATCATTTTGCCGTTTTCAATACATTTTACTGCTGATCAAATTTTCCATGGTAATGAAATTAATTAAGTTACAAAAATAATTAAAATTTATAATTATGTTATGAATTTAAACACGAAATTATGAATAATTTACAACTAAATAACCAAATTATGCAAAAAAAAATAAAATTAGATGTCAAAATTGATAAGTTTCTAACATGTAGGAATACAAATTTAAATTAAGCTAAAAGAATATTTCTCTTCTAAGCTTTTTTATTTAAAATCCTGTAAGGAGTGAGTCAGTTCAACGTCGTCGTTTTTATCCAGAAAAAGAACTTCTAATAATCCATTAATTTATTTTTTATTTAATGAATGAAATAATTTTTAACTCTCAAAAAATATTAAGCGCGTTATAATTTAAAACTGAAAAAAAAAACAAATCCTTTTTTCAGCACGAAACTTCCTTAAACTTATACGTACTAATCTTAACAAAATCTGCGGGTTTGAATAATAAATAATAAAATTATTATATTTATTTATATCATCCTATTAAAGGAGTTACTTTTTATGTATAGAATTTTTCTTCAATTTTATTTTTTAAGTAATTAATTTTTTAAACTAAAATAAGTATTTCACTTTTTTATTTTTTAAATTACAGTTAATTTAAATTTAATAATTTTTAAATTAAAATAATTTTTATTTAAATTTAATTATTTTTTAACTGAATTAATCATTTACAACAAAAAGGATAAACACATGCCCTGTGTTTTTACTGGTATTTAGTAATTTAAATAGCGGAAAACTAATTGCATAAACGAGAGTAATTCTCTGTTTATACGATTTTATTTCTTTTAGATAGACCAAACTTTGGAATTTGGATACACAATTTGCCATTATAGTGTACGCACGTAGTTTTCGTTTAATGAATTTAATTTAATTTAATTCGATTAAAAAGATCATAAAAATGGTGTTTATTTATTTATATTTTTTTTGTTATTTAATGACAAAATGATATGGAAGCGTAACGGAATTTTATGTTTATTAATTAAAATCAAAATATATTTATTTATAGAAGAAAATTTTAAAACTTTTTATTTAGAGATGGCTACGCCTAATTAGGGAAGAAAATATATTTTTACTTGTTGTTTCTTATTATCCACGAATAACTTTTAATATTTATTTCTTTCTTCCTTTTTATTATGTATCAAACATGATTAATATTAATTTATGATTACAAACTAGGAAGTTCCTTATTCGAAGCTGGGTTTGTTTTAGGCCATTGATATTTGATTCCTCTCTCTTTCTCTCTCCCTCTCCCTCTCTTTCTCTTTCTTTCTCTCGCAAAAACCGTATCGACAATGTCTGGGGAATCAGCCAGCGCTATTCCAAAGGGTCAAGTAAGATTCAAACTCAATCGCCATCCTTTTCGATTCGTTCATAGGGAACCACGTTCTGATCTTTTCATCTGTTTTCTTTTTCTTCTTAATTAGGTTGATCTCTTAGATTTCATAGACTGGTCTGGGGTTGAATGTCTCAATCAAAGCTCCACCCACTCTCTCTCCAATGCTATCAAACAGGTTCGTTAGGTTTCCTTTCTTCTCTTTCTCCCCCTATTCCTCTTCCTCCATTCTCTATTATTTTCAATTTATTTCTTTTTCTCTTTATCGTATGCAAGTTTTCTGCTTTTTCAAAAGGGTCCTTGTTAGTGAAAATAAGGGTTCTTGGCTTGCCTGTCTTATCTTACTGTGTTTGTTAATAAACAGGGTTATAGAGAAGATGAGGGTTTGCATCTGGAGAGTGATGCAGATGAACAGCTTTTGCTCTATATTCCTTTCACACAAGTTATTAAACTCTACTCCATTGTTATCAAAGGTCCTGAAGATGAAGGTAACATGTTCATAAACTTCAAACTATGTCACTCATTCAATTGAAGACATGGACACTAAAACTTTTTCTCAAGACCCTGTAATATGCTTTCCTCTCATAGTGGCCATTGCTTGATAAATTAGATTTAGTCAATTCATGTTAGCTGAGATGTAAATATTGCTCAATAAGATGCCCCTACATATCTTTCCTGTTAGGGAACTTGTAGTCTATTTTCTGAATTGAGAGATGCTATTGATTATTATTTAGCTTGTATATATGATCTTCACTGATTGCTACTGTACTTTTTTTTTAACCTTGTCTTGGTTATAATTGGGTTTTCGTCTTTTAGGCCCCAAGACGGTGAAGTTATTTTCTAACAAGGAGCATATGGGATTTAGGTATAGTTTTTTTGGCAAATCTCTTTGTGTCATAGCACATTTGTCATGTGATTCAATTAATTGCTGATTGTTTGTTAACGGCAGTAATGTCAATGATTTTCCACCAAGTGGTGTGGCAAATATGTCGGAAGAAAACCTTAATGTAATTTTTCTATAACTCTTTCCAAGTTTATGATGTTTTCCCTAAAGCAATTTGAAGCTTTCTTTTCCCACACGTGTATGCATAATTAACGTAAAGATTATTCCATTGTCTCTGACAGGGGAAACCAGTACTTCTAAAGTATGTCAAATTCCAAAATGTTCGTAGGTATGCTATTTTTCTGGATTCCTTCGTTTTGAGACGTGCCTCTTGTTTAAATATAATCTATTTGATGGAAATTGTCCGCTAATTTATATTAATTACTTGATCAGCTTGACAATTTTTATTGAGGACAACCAAACAGGTTCAGAGATCACAAAAGTTCAGAAGATTGTGCTGCATGGTTCAACGTAAGTTATAAACCATCCATCTATCAAGTTCGATTACTCATCCTTTCTCATCTACAGCTTTTAGTTTCTTCAGCTATTAGTGCAGAACTATCAAATTCCTTACTAATTGTTTTATTTGCTTCTTCCCCTAATTTGGTTGTGATTTCTCTTAGTCATTTTTCATCCAGCTGTTATATAGCATCATCATTGTTAATTGGTTTCTAGCTGAAGCAACAATAAAAACTCTACTGGTTCCAGATATTCATTTACTTTTAGTTGCAAGTTTTTATCTAACATTATTTTCTGTCATGCTGTGTTAGAAGCATTTGTGATTTTGGAATCGACACTTAATTGACTTGAATGTGGATTATTCCTTTTTTTCCTAGGGGAAAGTAAAAACGGGGGGTGGAATTGAAAAACTACATATTTAAACCGGCTCATTTATGCTAATTTTCTAGTTTGCAACCTTATCTGCTTCGCAAGGGCATGCATTCTGGCTATTTAGAAATATTGATGCATTATTTTCTGATATTTTACTGTCAATGCAGCGTTGAAACAACGGACATGAAGGGTTTGAAGAAGATTGAGGATCATTAATCATCGAGGAGATTCGAGTTTTCTCCCAATCCTCCATTAGAAATTTTGATTGGAAATGTTATGTTAGCTTCGTGAATGATGATGGTTTATGACTTCTAATGTCTAACTCATTTCAAATAAAACTGATGCAAACTATATCCATATGATTGTGACAATTTGTGTTTGGAAGCAAACATTTCAAGCTGCATGATTATTTGTTGTCTTTGAAACATGTAAACTTCGTCGAGGTTAGAATTTCCTTCAACGACTGGATCTGGAAGGAGCTAAGCTGCGTTGAAGGTGGCATCCTAATCAGTCATTTAAATCATCACCCTTATATGCACCTAACAGGAACTTGCCTGTGTTTTCTGTTCACCCTTGTACACCATTATTCTCTATATCAGAATAACGGAAGAGTTCTGAACAGTAGGTGGCTCGTACGGCCAATTATCAATATTTGTGACTATATCCTCGCCTGTGATTCACTTTTGCAATATAAGTTCTCAATCAGTATTTTTAATAAATTTTTTGTCGCCAAAGTTGTAGTCACTATTGGCAAAATCAGAATAGCTTAGAAACTGCACTAAGCTGGTTTAAGAGATGCCAGGTTATCTATTTCAATACAGTATATCGATTGTGTTGCTTGTAACTATATTTTTTAACCTTCATAATTCAATATTTAAGTGTCGGTTTGTTGAGCCGAAACTTCAAAAGTTTTTGTTAATTGATTTTAATAGTATGAACTAATATAAAGAAATGATTAAAATAGTAATGTTTTGTATTCTCATTGTGTCAACTCCTGTATTTCAGTAGATTGTTGAAATATCAGGCAAAGATGTAAGTCCAAAAACATGCATTCTTTGAACAATTCACATACTTTGTAAGTTTACTAAAGTTATCAGGACATTTACTAAACTATTTGGTGAAATTCCAACTACTTAGATGCCAAAATGATATACTTTTTTATTAAAAATTTGAATTTGTTTTTAAGGACGATTTTCAATTCTTTCTTAAGTCGTTGATTTTATTGTACTAAACACTTGATATAAAAATTATAGATGGACAAGTGATATAAAAATTATAATAGACTCTAATATTATAGATGGACAAGTGATATAAAAATTATTAATATTAAAAACTTATTTGTTCGTGTGCTTGTTTTTGGATTACGCTTACATTGTATGATATCTTTTCTTAATTTTGAATTGTCTTTAGAGTTTAACATTATTTTAGAGTGAAATTTATTTAGATTTGAAATAAAAAAAAATTATAATTTTTTATTTAAAAAAAACTTATAATTAAGTGAGTCAACCCGTTTAACCCACCAATCCGTGATTAAACGATTAAAAATCTCCCAACTAATGTGTAAAATCTAAATTTGAAGTGTATGAAATTTCAGTAACGAATTTATATTCTAGTTAAAGTACAAAGAATAGCACTTATCTACTTATCTAATAATTTTTTGTTCATTTTTTATCAAACATATATGTAATGATGGATAAGAGTCTCATTTATCTTGAATAAGTTTTATGCTCAAAATTAAGGGACTGTATAATAATATGTAAAATTTTGATTTACCTTGAACAATTTTTATCCTTCAAAGATGGATGGACTACGTAGTTATACGTAGGATTTGAACCTATTCTAAAAAAATAATATGCTTAATTATATAATGATTGATAGGAAATTTACCATGATTAAGTCTTATTGTTTAAGATTAAAAAAATGTGTAATGATAAGTAAGATTCCAAGTTAACTTGAACTAGCCTTATCATTCAAGACTAATTTGGAATAATAAAACACAATATCAACAAATAAATTAATGAAAAACGAATATTAACCATTAAATTAAAGTATGTTGATTTCGTATAAATATAATTTCTTTTTACCATTGTTCTTATTTGGAAATTTAACCTAGACTTTGGGTAGAGGGTGAGATTTTAAAGGTGGTTATGTCGTTTCTTCACTGAAATTATTAAGTGAGTTAAGATCTTATAAGTTAGAGTTAGTGTTTATTATGAATTAAGTGTTATTTTGAGAAATACTAGTTGTATTTATAGAATTAACATGAATAGTAAACTTATCTTCATATTTGGAAATAATAACAATATAATATTTTTACAAATGTATTTGTTTCTATCTAGTCTACTAGACATATTAAAAAGCGTAGTTCAATAAGATTCTTTCTTCATCCCAACCTATCTTGGTAGTTTGATATGTTGGTTATTGTTTATAATAAATATTAAATTAAAACATTAAATATTATAAAGGTATTTAGGATAAAAAAAATATTAAATTAAAATAATAACCAATAAAATAAGATAGAAATTAGGATGATTAATAAAAAAATATTTTTATAAATGTATCTACTTATAATTGTGAAATTAATTTATTACTTAAATGTGATATTTTATTAATATTTTATATTAAAAATTTTAATTTAAAATTAATTTATTTTTATTTTTATTTCTAAAAGTTATTTCTTATATTGCATTAGTGTATATATATATATATATATATATATATATATATATATATATATATATATATATTATCAAATTATTTATAAATTCCCACCCATTTTTCTAATTTTTCTTTCAATCCAAATAATTTCATTTTCTAATTTCTTTCTCTCAAATTTATTCTTCAAACCAACAATCTTCAAAGCATAAATGTCAAATTAAAACAAAATTGACTTATTCATCAAACTAAAAACAATAATACAAAGTAAAGGAAGACGAAAAAAAAAATACAAATTTTGAGATATAATATATAATAATTCAAATTTATATTTCTTTCGGCTGAATGTCCTAAATCTAAATTAATGTTTTTTAAAATTTTTTAATTTTATCACTAAATTGAATTTATATTTAATATTTTTTAGATTTTGAAAATTTAAAGTGAACTCATTTATATTTGTTGGATTTAGAGTTAACCAAACTGAAAGTCAAACAAGTCGGAAAGATTGAGAGAGTTGATTAAAGTGAAAGATTGATGAAATTAGTCTAAGTTAAAAGTGAATCGTAATCTTGATGATATTAATGGATGTCGTGATGATCAAAGATCATACCGATCCTGACCTAATTAAAATGAATACGTGAATGATTTTCAATATTGTTCTCAATGTTTGTTATTTTTGTTGTTCCTTCACAACATGGTCTTCAATAAGAAATTCATGCATTGGTTAAAAGTTCAGTCGACATGTCATAAGGTATAATTTGGTACTATACTACCTTTCACAACAATGTATATAATTTGATTTCAGAGAACATTATATTATATTATATTATATAGATATAGTTGCAGATGAGGGATGGGAACCACACAATGGGAGAAGTTGTTAAAGATCCAAAATATAAGGAAAGTGTAAAGAAAAGAAGATTGTTGATCTTGAATTTCTGGAGAGGAAAGGACCACTGCATCTGCAGAGCAGTAATTGTAGAAGATGGCCCCCCCTAATTGTGTCTGCGCTACCTTCCGACACTCTCATGTGTAAAATACCCTTAACTTTTCTCACCACAACCACCTTTTTAATCTCTCCCATCTATTTATTCACTCACAAACCAAACCAAACCAAACCAACACCAACACCAACCTCATTCAACACCAAATAAAACCTTAAAATGACGAATCTATCACCAACGTTTGACTCATTGTACCACCTGCACTTTCCTCAATAAGCACTCATGCATCGATACGAGGCGGATAATAGTGGTTAATATATTCCACTCCATGCCGGCGCAGCCTACCCTTACCACATCACCTTTTCCCTATGCCGCCATTCTTTCACTCAACTTTCTTCCAACCTCAACTTCATCTTTTCCCAACTCCTTCACTGCCTCACAATTAACCAATACTCTATTAATTTTCCCATCAATACTCACTAATTCAATTAACCAACCATCAAAATTACTAATCAACAAAAAATTCAAGAAACGTTTTGATTCATCTTCTTAACTTTTCAATTTCTTAGAAAAGATATATATACATATATCAAGTATCAACGACAAGCACTATATATTATTGTTTTCATACTATCACTGATTGGAATTGAAACTGATGTGCAAGAATGTGATGGGCATGACTGAGTTCTTTGTTTTAACCTTCTTTTCTATTTTAACTATGACTGTTGTTTTATATATATTATTAGTGAGGGTGATATGACCCTGATAAGGTACTTAGGTTCTGTTATTAATTATTGTTCATCTTTTAAGTTATGTTTCTATTGCCAGTTTCTCTACATGGGCAAGAACCTATAAATTTTTGTATTCTTCTGAACTTACTTTCATTCGTTTGATTTAACGTACAAGTATTATTGTCAAGAAAAAGTGTTGATTTTATTGTCAGTTTTGAATTCTAGGTATCTTAGTTAATAAATACGCATTCATTTGTGTTCATTTCAAGCAACAACCAAGAATGTCACAAGTGGAAAAATGTAAGTGCCGAAACGATAGCATGTCAGCAGATGTTCAGCAATTTAAGGCCCCCTTTCATCTCAAACATCATAAATGGTTTGCTATAATTTCAAGCCAACAGTTTTCTCAATGCATAAGAGTGTACATTTATAATCTCACCAACTATTTTGCATAAATTTCTCCCCCGTTCTTTCAATGCTCTTTCAAACCATAATTTATAAAGAAAAAGTATCTTTCTTTTCATAAATCATAAAACGAAAACTAAAGAAAATGTTAATTTAAATCAAAAACTCAAAATAAGAGTTTATACAATAGGTTTCAACTTTCTTAAGTCTGAAAAAAGAAATCTACTTTCTCCGCCCAAAGTTTCCGAAAATGTCCCTTATAGAATGTAGCCTAAATAAGGACAGAAACAAATAGCCTTATGTAAGACTAAAATAATAAAATAATAATAATTTTGATTGCTTTGGGACATTGATTCACTTAAGGCATAAGTACAGCATCAGATACTGGATAGAGGTACGAAAAGAGAAGAAAATAATGTTGAATTTATTTATCTGACCACCTAATCTGAATTATAAATATTTAGGGATTAAAAATATAGATGAGAATTTTGATTAACGAAAAGATAAAAATCCTTTACGTAGTGTGTTGAATATTTAGAGCTAAAAAGCGAAGAGCAAAAAGTAAATGAAAAATGATATGAAATAATAAAATGGTAAAGATGGAAAACCTTAAAAGATATGTAATGCAACTACCATAGGGTGTAGAGTGGTCGCAGTAGACACTGGGTAGCACATTACTCTGT